GGGAAAATACAATGTTTCTTGTAGTATATATATATATATATATATATATATATATATATATATATATATATATATATATATATATATATATATATATATATATATATATATATATATATATATATATATATATATATATATATATATATATATATATATATATATATATATATATATATATATATATATATATATATATATATATATATATATATATATATATATCGTATAATTGATTAATTTAAAAATTAAGACCGTTTTAAATTTTTGAAGAGTTTGTGTAAGTTAAACATAATTCAAGTGCGAAAAATAAATAGGAGCTTTATTTTGTTATTGTTTAAATATAATTAATAATTTTTAAGACCTTTTTAGCCATGATTTAATTGTAAAATAATTTAAACTCTATTGCGTAATTTGTCTTGCACGTCCATAAAAAGAATCCAGTTAAAAATCATACTTATAAATAATAAACATTTAATTCTTTTAAATAAAAAAATACTTAAAACTTAAGGTTTTTTTTAAAACATTGGTAAGTTTTAATTATGATTTTTTTAAGTGGTTAATAGAGTGTTTAAATATGTTGATTTTATCATCAATTGAAAATAAAATATTAAATAAAATTGATTAGAATAATTTAATATTTTAACATTTAAAAAAATTAAATATAAAATTTATTAATCTAAAATAAAAATATTTGTTATTATATTAAAAATTTAAATTTAAATTTTTTGCACTAACCTCTAAATTTGCATCAACATAAGAGATTCGATAAGATTTGAGTAGTTGATATTTTTCACCATAATATTAGAGTTTAGATCTTTTTCATTTCTCAAAAGAAGCATAGTGCTCAATTACTAAAGTATCGGTGCATAATGCTTATATATTATTACAAATGGTGACATATACTTTTTATAATTTAATTTTTATATAATGAAAACATTAAAAATGGAACTCTCCATTTCTTTTTGAGAAATGAAGTCCAATTTCTTGCGTTTTTGTCCTCTAAGTTTAATTGGGCCTACTGTCATTTAGGCCTATAAAATTTTTTTGATCTATTTTATTTGATAAAAGAATGTACACTTTTTTTTTTCCGTATACACTTTTTAACTTTCAATAAATGAATTTCATATTCTTGATAAGGGTCAAGCGGTACAAACTAAAGTTCTAAGAACATTCATATTTAAATCATCCATTTTAATTTTTTAAAATAAACTTCGTTTAGTTTTTTAAATTATTTAACATTTTTCATTTATTTACAAGAAACAGTTATAAAATGCTAAATATGATGTGACACATCAATTAAAATATGATGCTAGTATTCATGATAGCAACACGTTAATTGTGTTGCCAATGATTTGACACATTATGTGTATCTAAAATCAATTCCAAACACACATAAATAGATGGTCTAGTAATTGGGTAGCAAAAGCAGATAATGAATAAAGCATTCATCATTTCCACCTCAACATCTTAACAGAAGGCCCAACCTTGAATATATTCCACAAATTAATATAATGTGTAACGTTCTACGTATAATAATTAAAATAGAACACTCTACTTTATATATTTCACAAATTATTTTTTTTATTTTTTTTATTATATATTAATCATTAATTTTTTTTTGTGTGTCTATCGTATTATTTTAATTAAATACATAAAATAATATTTTACCCCATAAAAATTATAAATAAAAGGTAAAAATTAAAATGAGTTTTATATTGCTTAAAAGATGGTTAAATAGTACATTCAAATTTAACTTATAACTTTGCAATAGACAAACAAATGTCTTTCTAAAATTAAATATTTAATTATAATTGAATTTATAGGTTAAAAATTCAAATTCAAATATAAAATTAAATAAAAAGTTTTTTTTTTCTATTTCATATAAATATCCAACAATATATTAGTAAATTAAAAATAATCTATTATCTATTTTAATATATTAATACTGAAACATAAACTATTTAATTGACGAATCATCTCTCGTGTCAGATAAAATATGATGCGGAACACTTCAAAATAGGTAAAATAAAATTTTAAATTAAAATGAGTATTATATTCCTTAAAAAAATGGTTAAATAATACATTCAAATTTAACTTATAATTTTACATTAGACAAACAAATGCCTTTCTAAAATTAAATTTTTAAATATAATTATAGGTACATGTTAAAAATTAAACTTCAAATATAAAATTCAATAAATATATTTTAGCCTATTTCATATAATTTTTTTCAAATAATATGTTAGTAAATTATAAACAATCTATTATTTATTATCTGCTATAATAAATTAATTATGATACACAAACCATTTGATTGACAATTCATCACCTATCTTGCCACATCAATTAAAATATGATATGAAAATCTTCAAAATTTATCAAAACAAAATTTTTAATATTCATTTTAATATAATGTATAACGTTCTACACATAATTATTAAAATAAAATATTTTTTTGACTATCATGTTATTTTTAACTATATACGTATTATAATATTTTAACCAACAAAAATTAAAAATAAAAGTTAAAAATTAATATGGTTAATAAATAAATGTTTTTTAAAATAAAATAGTTAAATAATATTTTTCTAAAATATAATTTTTAACTATAATTATAATTACATGTTAAAAGTCAAATTTTACTTCGAATATAAATTCAATAAATATTTTTTAGCCTATGCCACATAAATATCCAACAATATATTAGTAAATTAGAATTAATCTATTATCCGGTATCTATTTATTATTTATTTTATTAATTTTGAGACACAATCATTTGATTGACAATTCATCGCCTCTCATGTCACATCAATTAAAATATGATGTGACACTCTTCAAAGTTTATTAACAAAATTTTTTTAATATTCATTTTAATATAATGTATAATGTTCTATACATAATTATTAAAATAAAACACTCTTCTTTATATGTTTCACAATTTATTCTCTATTTTATTTATCATATTAATCATTACTTTTTTTTGACTATCATATTTTTTCTGAATTAAATACATAATATAATACTTTACCCTATAAAAATTATAAATAAAAGATAAAAATTAAAATGAGTATTACATTTCTTAAAATAAAATGGTTAAATAGTACATTCAAATTTAACTTATAACTTTGTAATAAACAAACAAATGCCTTTTTAAAATCAAATATTTAATTATAATTATAATTACATGTTAAAAGTTAAAATTCAAATATAAAATTAAATAAATATTTTTTAGTCTATTTCATATAAATATCCAACCATATATTAGTAAATTAAAAATAATCTATTATCTATTATATTATATGAATTCTAAGACATAAATCATTTGATTGACAATTCGCCATCTCTCATATCACATCAATTAAAATATGATGTGTCACTCTTCAAAGTTTATCAGAATAAACTTTTTAATATTCATTTTAATATAATGTGGAACGTTCTACACATAACTATTAAAATAAAACATTTATCTTTATATATTTCACAAATTATTTCTCTATTTTATTTATCATATATTGCACATTACTTTTTTTTGTGTCTATCATATTTTTTCAAATTAAATACCTAAAATAATATTTTACCCCATAAAAATTATAAATAAAAGATAAATGTTAAAATGAGTTTTACATTGCTTTTAAAAATTATCTATTATCAACTATCTATTATAATATATTAATTCTGAAACATAAATCATTTAATTGACAATTTATCATCTCTCATGCCACGTTAATTAAAATATGATGTGACACTCTTCAAAATTTATTAAAAAAAAGCTTTTAATATTCATTTTAATATAACGTGTAACGTTTTACACATAATTATTAAAATAAAACACTCTCCTTTATATATTTCACAGATTATTTCTCTATTTTATTTTTCATATATTAATCATTACTATTTTTGGTGTCAAACATATTGTTTTCGAAATAAATACATAATATAATACTTTAACCCACAAAAATTATAAATAAAAGATAAAAATTAAAATAAATATTACATTGCTTAAAATAAAATGGTTAAATAATACTCTCAAATTTAACCTATATCTTTGCAATAGACAAACAAATATCTTTCTAAAATATAATTTTTTAATCATAATTATAGTTACATGTCAAAAATTAAACTTCAAATATAAAATTAAATAAATATTTTTTAGCCTATTACATATGAATAGCCAACAATATATTAGTAAATTTTAAAAAATTTAATATAAAAAAATAATTCAATTGAATTAAATCAGTTGCATACATTAAAACTATTGATATAATGAAAGAAAAACACACGCAACAACATTTTTGTATTTATTTTAATACTCAATTCTTCATCCAACTCAGAAAAACATATTAAATCTTTATACGCAATACCTTCACAAACTAATAAAATATTATAAAATAGAAATTTTCATCTTATATCTTATGCAAACTATGATGATTGATTACATACTCAATGAATCGTTCAAATATAAAAAACACTTTTAGAAATGTTGAATAAATAAAAAATTGAAACAATAAAAAATTTCTAAAATTTATATATTTATTTCACCATTAACTTTTTCAATTTTGATGTTTTATCTTACATTTTCATGATTCAAACAAAAAAATATATTATTTTTTAATATTTTTTTATATTAGTGACTTAATTAAAAAATTGTTATTAATCGGTATAACAAATATATATCTAATCTAATATTGCTTAAATAACTCAATTCAATCTCGCACATCGAGTGAATTCTAATTTAGTTATTTCTAATTTCAAATCTAATCTTTGTTAGTCATGATTCAAACCTGACAAAATAAACATATTTATTTAACTCCAATTTAACAATTAAATTTTGAATGATGACATTTGTTTTAGTTTCATTCATTAATATATATCATATAAAGATTCAATCATGTTAATTGTAGATCTTCACACAAAAATTTGTTCAATCTTTAATTTTCTACTACATCATGATGCTTTCATAAAGTAAAGAGTAAAAGAAAATTACAAAGAGAAACTTCTCAAACATGCAAAATTCCAAGCCTTCCTCTACCAGTTCTACTAAGGAAAAATCTTCCACTTGAAAATGATCTCTTCATTGCAATTGGACTCAAAACACAATGCAAAACCTTTCTTCTATAACTACACTTACTACTTTCACTCTCATCTCTTACTCTCTTTGATGAACCTTCAACTTGGGAACAATCTTGTTCTTGATTCATATGCATAGCATTAACATCATCGACAACGGAAAGAACACCTTGAAATGAATGATCCATAGATACCGATCTTCGAATCGATTCATGATAATCTTCATTATCTCTAATCTCAATCACACTATGCCTTCCTCTTGAATTTCCTAAATCGCTTAAAGCGCGAAATTCACTCTTTGGAATTGGAACTTCTTCCACTTCATGCAATTCACTGTCTCTTTCAACATCTACAATTTCATTCAGTTGTTGATTTTCTAAAGAAACTTCATTCCTTGAAGATTGTTCAATAACCGGTGCTGCTAAATGAAGTGTTGCAGCACTTGAACTTGAAGCATTGAAGGCGAATATGGTAGCGCGGCAAAGAGGACAATTCGAGTGAGATTTGAGCCATGTATCGATACAAGGAAGATGAAAAGCATGGCTGCATTTAGGTAAAAGTCGAATACTTTCATCGTCTTGAAACTCGTTGAGACATACAGAACAATCCGTTACATCAACCAATCCATCATTCTTTTTGTACTTGCAAACGGTTATTGATTTGATCAAAGCTTCATCTAAGCCATTTGTTGTAAGGTGCCATGGTTCATGGATTGAATGGTTATGATGATGATTGTCTTCGAGTTCATCATTTGTTTCGCGCGATTCGCTTTGTGACGATGATCCTCTTCGGCCGCAGTATTTGGAGATTATGGTGTAGTAAGTGACAAGAAGAAAAGCACTTGCTAAGATTCCAATGATTGCAATAACAAGAGGAGAGAAATTTGAACTTGAATCATCATCAGGGAATTCAAAGGGAGAAGGTGGAGGTGGAGGGTAAATTGCATAACACCATTGTGGACAATAGAAGCTACAAAAACCTTGAGAACAATCTTTGTTGTTCATGTATGGAACCCAAGCTTTTGGATTTCCAAGAGAAGCCATAGCAAAAAATAACCACCTTAGCTCTTTTTTATCAATACGAATATCCAATACAATATCCTAGGGTTTACAGTATTCAGAGACGCTACGCATCAATCACTTGCGCCTAAACTTGATGATGAAGTATATATTATATACTATCACAAGAGGAGTCCTATAAACATGGTTTCTATTTTCTACTTCTATGGCAATTGAAATTTCATAGAATAAAAATAAACTATAGAATAGGACCTAAAGACAAACGTAGAAGCAAGTAGAGAAGTTATGAGAAGCTTGTGAAGTAAGCAAACATATAGAAGATGTAGAAGTAATGTTATTATCACCTAAAATGTGGTGGCTAAGAGTATGAGAGGTTTTATGAAATGAAAATTATTAGTAGCATACAAGAGAATTTAAGTCTCTAATAAGGTAAACGAGAACATGGAAAAGGTGTCAAAGGGCTTAGATGGAAAGCAAAGAAAAGGGTACAGAAAATGGGATGCTGATGAGTATACTTTAACTTTTTTTTGTTTACCTTCTTTTTCTTTTTTCATAGCTTTAATTGGTCTCTAGTTTTATCTTTATTGGATACAATGATTTGTTGACTAAGGAGATGGTTGTGATTAATTGGTGGCAATGGTTAAAAATTTAGAAAAATATTTATCCGCAAATAAAGTGGTAATAATTATTAGAAAATTACACACATAACTGTGAGCGTTCAGGTTTGAACTCTTATAATGACGTTCAATTTAACAATATTAGTTTTTGTGTCAGATAAATTAAGATTTGCGAATCAAAATATCACAATCTTAATTATATAGCTAGTCAACTTGATTATGAAAATATATTCACAAGGGAATAAAGATGAAGTAAATAAGAGATATGATGCATTTTAAAACAAGTTATTATAGTCAAATATATAGTTGTCACTGATCACCTGATCAACCATATATTTGCTCACACCTTGAATAACCTATTCTTCACTTTTCAACTTCACTTTCTTCTATTCGAAGCCACTAAATTTTGTTAGATTTGAGATTATCTAGGAATTTTCAAATCAAATGATACCCTCCATTTTATATATTATGGTTAGAATAATTGAAACTTTGCATCTAACCATTTTATGGCCCTTCATTAACAAAATATAATATTCCAAAGTGGGAGAATATTTCGGATGATAATGAAAATTAATATCATGTTTGACATGCTTTGATCCATTTACATAGTTTCACTTTAAGAAAACAAAATCAATTAAAAGAATTAACGAATATCAATAAGTAATAAAGTTAAAAGAAGACTAGAATTATGCCTTAAGACTAGGACCCTTTTTTTCATGTTATGTAGAGACATAATCATATGCACAAAAGCCAATAAGGTCTTGATCTAATTCCTTTTGAGTCTTTTGACAATAGCAGAACTAAAGATAACCCTCATTGGTATACACCTTGAGGTCACTTTTTTTAGTATTAGGACTTGGTTCTAAAGTCATTGAATCTTTCTTCATTCATTCTTTTTCTTTTTATGTATATAATTTTGAAGTTCTGGTTTTCATAAAGGATAAACAAAACCAACCAATTGTGAGTTTTAAGGTGTTTTTTCAAACTGCTACAGGTGATTTTGGTTACATATGGTATTAGAATGCTCTAATTTATTGCTCATATAATGTATAACGTGTTACTCTTAATAGCTATGAAACACGGATACCTCAAACACGACTCCAACATTAATACGGTGACACTGATAATAATTTTAAAAAATGAATAAATTAAACGTAATTACAAGTGTCTGACGCCGACACGAACACAGACATATCTTTTTTCAAAAGTGTCGGTGCTACATAGCTCAATACACATTTTTCATGCTTGTTGCTGGCCGAATATTTGTAGCGCGATCCAAGTGGTGGTCCAATAATAGAAGTTTAATAGCATGTTGTCCAACGTCATCTTACTGGCTTCATTTTCTTTCTATATTCATGCCAATAATTTGACCTAGATTCTTTGAAACCATAGATTGTAAGCTTGCACAAAATTTTGTTTCCTAAGCTTGCAATTCATGGATTTTAACATGAAATGTGATACTCCATTATCAGTGATATAGTGACCATAAAAGCTAACTCCAATATGGGCACTAACAACCTTCAATAGTTTACAAAAAAAAGTTCAGATTTTGGAGACCAGTGATTTCAAAAGAAATATTGAAATCTCAATGTGCTTGGTTTGAATTCTTGATTGACAATATTGAAAACCGTTAAAATTGGGAGCTGAAAAAGAAAATCAGACTCGAGATTTATTTCGAAAACTATATTGAAAATAATCTTAAATGTTCAGCCATATTTTAAAGATGTGTCAAACTCAACCTAGTTCAAAAAAAATGTGGATGCAAAAAATCGTACTTTGTATCTATGTATACATGCAGAGGTAAAATCTCAGCTTGAAGAGGTTACTTCTCGATCCACATACTGTAACCATGTCCAAAAATCAGTAAATGAAAAATTAGGATTTATGATTCTTCAGGTTGAGCATCAGCATCTTGTTTTTCACCATCTAGTTGAGCATCAGCATTTTGGTTTTCATTTTCTAGTTGCGCATCAGCATCTTGATTTTCACCTTCTAGTTGAGCATTGGCATCATCTTGTTGTTCACCTTCTTCATTTCCAGCTTCTTTAACTTTCTTTACACTTACTTTTACGCGAAGTGGTCGTTTCATTAGCTCCTGCAACGGGATAGGATTAAAGACAGCCACGTTGAATTTAGATCAATCATGAATACAAAATCATTCAACATCTGTAAAGAAATAGCACAAGCAAGTGACCATGAATAATGAGATGATAACTACCTTCCCTTCCAAAGCAGAAATGGCAGCCTGTGCTTCCTCCTCCGTATTATAAGAAACAAATCCATACCCAGCAGATCTCCCAGCAGGGGTTTGAAAGACAACCCTGGCTGAAACTGGCGCTTTGAAATTCTCAGTGAAGATGTCTCTAAGATGTGTGGCCCTTGCTTTCCATGCAAGGTTGGATACATAAATTACATAACGTGCTTCACTAGGAGCCGGACTTGGAGGAGGGCCTGGAGGAGATGGAGGAGAAGGTTTCTTGAATCTTTTTGCAAACTCTACCCTTATTATCCGGCCTGATATTTCCTGAACCACACAACTGGATGTCAAAATAATTATAGCCAAATAGAAGCTGAATAAGTTACGGAAAGCAATATTTTCATTCTCATTTTCCATTCACTTGGGACACTAGGTAAGATATCTCAAAGCACCGTCTCTATTCCTTACGCATAGTTTAAAAAACATATTTGGAAAGGAACATATGTTTTGGCATACCATTATTCATTTTGACCTCAAATAACTAAGCTTTGTAGTCTCTTGAAAGTACTAGTCCATGCAACAAACAAACGTAGAAACCAGAAAGTACTAGGTCTAGGTAGCAATACTACGAAGCACAAAAACAGACATGGACCCCAAACACAGCTGTAACACAAACACGCTAACATGGATGGCATCTAAAACATAGGACATTTACAAGTTTGTAAGCACGGTCAAGATTATCTTATCTGATTTTATATTACCATGTAAAACATAGAAGCACAAGGACAAGTAGAGCAAGAACTACATCACAAATCAAGTCTTTTGACAACCTTTCTTGACATTTTTCAAGTTTAAACTATTATTTTTCTATCCGATGTTGAATTTTCTGAAAATATTCAACAACAAAAAGATAGTTTGTTATAAAAGATGTGTCCTTAAAATACCAAACCTTGGTTGAGTGTCAGCCAAGTATCCAAGTCATGTTGGCCGTTAAAAAGTAACTATTTAACTAGACACCTAATGCAAGCTATAAAGCACGGACACAGACACCACGACACAGATAACTTACACAACACTAACAAAGGCACGTTATTACGGGTAATAATTTGAAAACACTAAAGAAGTGGAAACAACAAACATCCATTTTAGAACAAACAACATAACCCGAATTCATTTCAAATCCTTAATCTTTAAACCAAACCGAATTGAATCAACTTACACGAGCATTAAATTGTTCAACAGCAGCCTGAGCCCCTTCTACAGAATCCATAGTAAGAAATGCAAAACCTTTTCCATTTACAATCTACAACAATCAACAAAACCCATTTCTCAGAATTACACAACCAATTGAAATTCAAAACTCTAGATTCAAAAAATTAAAACAAAGCTGACAAACATATTTTGAAATAACCTTGACTTCGATAACGGTTCCGCATTCCGCGAAGAGTTCTTTGATGTCTGTCGCGGTCATTGACCAAGGCAAGTTAAACACGGCAAACTTCTTGTTAACGTTGGTTAATGTCTCAGTTTTTTCATCTTCAATTGTTGCTTCTGTTACCTCTTGTAAAGCGAAGCATGGTGTTTGGGTTCTGAAAGAAGATAAGTGAAGTTTGTTGTGGCTATGGGAGAAAATGGAAGAAGAGATAGAAGTGGCTTGGAGTTTAATGGAATCGGGTGATTTAGCGAGGAAATGGTAGCTGTTTGAAAAACGTTGAGGTGCGAAAACGGTTATGGCTGATTCTAACGTGGCCATTGGTGCTGCGAGTTCAAAGACGAAGAAGTGTGAAGTGGATAAGAAGTAGTAATGATTTCGGGGTTTTTGTAATATATATCTACAATTTAAAATGTTGTTATTTTTTACAAAATAGTTTCAATGTGTTTTAATTTTTTTTTTCTAAAAATGTTTTATAGTTTATCTTACTAACTCATAAATGTGAATACTGGTGGGTTGAATTTTTTTATTCGTGAAATGAAATTTAGAATATTATAGTTGCGTAAGTGTGTTTTTAGTTATATATAAATTGTCATTTTGTTCAAAGATCAAAAATTCTAATTTGTGTAAAAACATGTTATATTATTAATTTTTAAAAATTATGTTCTGATTCCGCTCATTTAATAAAAAAATCATTACTAGATTTATTTCACTAAATCATTAAGTCATATTGTTACTCATAATCTATCATAAGATTGACAAATTATTGGAATTAAATCAAAAAATTTGAATAATTTTGAATTAATTTTGATGAATAAAATTCAATCACGTTGATCGAATTCTCTCTTATTATTCACTCTTCACTCAAGTGAATCAGCTAACCTTATTTGCAAGATAATGTCAATGAAAGAAGAAAGAAAATATGTATAGAGAAGAAAAGGAAAATATGAATTCAAAACAAAATAAGGGAAGAAGAATTTTTGCAGAGTAAATCTCTGCTCTCAAAACTACAATTTTATTCACACGAATCTCTTCATAGTAATAGGATTAACCCTTATTTATAGATTTAACTTGCTTGCTCCTTAAGTAAAGCCCAAAAACAAAAAGTCTAAAATATCTAATTCTGACAACACTACAAAATTAGATTTAAGACAAAATTCATGTCGAGGCTAACTCCTCGACACTTCGACAACTAAGTATTTCGATAAAAACATGTTTCGCCACCATGAAATACATTCTCAACATGACGCATTATTCATTGTGTCTAAGCTATCTATATTCATCATAGACTTTAACTTCTTGAACACTTCAACTTGCACTTCATTCGCCATGATATCTGCAATCTGATTCTCAGTTTCGTAGTGTTCCAAGTTCATCTTTCCTTCTGCTACCTGCTCTCGAAGATAATGGAACCTCATTTAGATGTGCTTGCTTCGTCCATGTGCTATCACATTCTTCGTCAGATTGATAGCAGACATGATGTCGATCTTCATGGTAATCGTTTCACGATTCTTCCCTGTAATCTCTTCGACCAGATTCACCATCCATGTTGCTTGACATACACAAATAGAAGCAGTTATGTATTCTGCTTCACATGATGATAGTGCGACTACTGGTTCCTTTCTTGAACTGCAAGCAATTGGTGGACCATCTAGCATAAACACATAGTCAGCTGTAGATTTTTCATCCTCAGTTTCACTACACTAACTTAAGTTGGTGTATCCCACTAACTTGCATTATTTTTCTTCATCGGCTGCAAGAAATAGAATGCCATAGTCGAGAGTTCCTTTCAGATGCCTTAGTATCCTCTTCGTCGCTGCTAGGTATGATACATTTTGGGTTTTGCATGAATCTACTCACCATACCTATAATGTATGCTAGATCATGCCTTATGTGACAAAGGTATCGAAGTGATCCAATTAGTCTCTTGTATTGTGTTAGATTGACATTATATTCATTTGTGTCTCTCGATAGTTGCGTTCTAGGCTCAGCTGGAGTTGAGTTTGGGTTGCAATCTTGCATCTATTTCACCTATATATCTTGTTTGGTGCATCATCAAACATTTATCACTCTTGTAAAATTCAATGCCAAGGAAATATGAGAGATTTTCCAAGTCTGACATTTCAAACTCCTCAATTAAGTCATGTTTGAAATCTTCGATCACCTTCTTATAACTTCATGTTATCAACAAGTCATCGATATAGAGACATAGTATAAGTAATTCACTATTGCTTCTTCTTACATATACTCCATGCTCAGTTGTGCAGTTCACAAATTCCTTTTCCCTTAGAAAGATATCTATCTTTTTGTTCCAAGCTCTTGGAGCTTGCTTAAATCCATACAGGGCTTTATGCAACCTATATACCTTGCTTTCTTCGCCTTGCTTCACAAACCCAACTGGTTGTGCAACACAAACTTTTTCATCTAAGGGTCATTCAGGAACGCACACTTCCCATCCATCTGATATATATACCAATTGTTCATGTTTGGTAGACTAACAACCAATCTGATAATTCCAATCCTAGCAATAGGTGCAAAAACTTCATCGAAGTCGATTCCTTCTTTCTAAAGAAATCCTTTCGCCACAAGTTTTTCCTTGTGTCAGGTTACCTCCCCTTTGGGATCCAACTTCACCTTGCATACCCACTTCACATTGTTTGCCTTGAGGAAATTTGAAAAGTGTCAAAGTGTTATTGACTTCGATGAAGTTTAGTTCTTCATTCATTTCTTTCTTCCACTTCAAATCCTTCAATGCTTCAGCTGCATTGGCTGGTTCAACATCTGCATAAAAAGCATAGTGTAATAGCTCACCTTCATCATCGACCACATCATCTGATGTAATCACACATTCTTGCAACCTTACAGACATGTGTCTTTTTCTTTGAGGTCTGCTCGTGCTTGCTTAACCTCTGACTTCTTCTTGTCAAACTTCTCTTTCGACTTCACTTGTTGGTTCTTCACATAAGATTCTCACTGAGTCTTTCTTTATATTTCCATTCCAATCACATTCCTTAAGCTCTTATATGATCGTGTCCCTGCTAATCACTACTTGCTTGTTCACTAGGTCGAACAACTTGTATATTCTAGTCAAATGATATCCTGTTAGGATCATTTGACTCGATTTATCATTAAGCTTTCTTCTCAACTGATCAGGCACGTGTTTATGTGCTATAGATCCAAATACTTTCAGATAACTCAAGTTAGGCTTGACACTAGACCAACACTCTTTTGGCGTGATTCCTTCTAGCCTTTTCGTCGGACATCTGTTCAAAATATATGTAGCAGTCAACACAGTTTCTGCCCATAATTATTTAGGTAGATGCTTGCCTTTCAATATAATTCTAACCATATTCATGATGGTTCTATTCTTCTTTTCTGCAGTTTCATTCTGCTGTGGAGTGTAGGGTGGCACCACCTCATGCAAAATCCCTTCTTTCTCACATAATTTGTCGAAGTCTTTCGACACATATTCTCCACCACCATTAGTCCTTAGAATCTTGAGCTTCTGAACACTTTGCCTTTCGTCTATAGATTTAAACTTGCTAAATACCTCGATAACTTCATGTTTCTTCTTGATCAAGTAATCCCACATTTTTCGACTGAAATCATCTATGAATATGATAAAATATTTGTTACCTCCAATCAAATCCATCTGGATAAGACCACATACATCAGAGTATATGACTTCAATAATTGCTTTCGACTTGCTTCCTGCATCATTGTTGAAGTTGTTCTTGTGATGCTTCGCCTGCACACATTCTTCACATACTTTGTTTGGAATGTCAATTTTTTGGTAATTCTAAAATCATATCTTTTATCTTCATCATATCTATGATGTCTTTGAAATTGAGATGACTTAGTCAATAGTTCCATATTCATTCATCCCTGTTAGCTGCAGTTACAAGCCACTTATGCTCAATCACATTTAGTTCAATCCTGAAGATTCTATTTTGAGACACGGGAGCCTTCAAGATTAACCTTCCTCCTGAGTCAAGAACTTTCACCATCTTGTCTTTGATCAATACCTTGTATTTTTTTTACCAACTGCCTTATGTTGAGAAAATTACTTTTCACGCCTGGCATGTACAATACATTAGAAATTACTGACTCTTTGCCATCTTTCCTCATAATCAAAACATCAGCAATACCTTCAGCTGCTAGAGTATTTTCATTTGCAAATTTCACCATGTTCTTTATTGAGGGTTTTTTATTGACAAACCAATCCTTCCTACCACTCATATGTGATGAGCATCCTGAGTTCAAGTACCATTGGTCCTAGAATCTTTCTTCATCTCTTGTTGTGACCATCAACATCATCTCTTCTTTTCCATGCTTTACCAATTTTGCATTGTTGTATGGGTTCTTTTGTTTTGCAAGACAATCACTGGAGTTAGTAAGGGTAATGAGGGAAAACCCCAATTTGTGAGGCCCAAGACTAGGTTTGGCAAAATTGAGTTCTGAAGGAAAATTAGAATTCATTTGTGTTAACCGTGAAAGTTTGGTGGCCAGAGCTCTGAAGGAAAGGTTGGAGGCAGAAGATCCCAAAGTTAATCGTGAAAGCTGCGAATCGACTAAGGTATGGGAAGTATCGTTGTTCATGATTTTCTATGTATGCCTTTAGATGTGTTTATGGTTGGATTACGATTTAAGGTATTTTGGGGTTGATTTGGGAGAATTAGGGAAATTGATTGTACGACTCTGAGATTATGGCTAGTGGTATGTAACACTGAATATTGATATGAGAAAGGGAAACCTTAGGCCTTCGTGGCCCAAACCTTGGATTGTTATATGTTTGACCCTACAGGAATAGGAATGTTCCAATGTGAGTAGCTCTGATGCACTCAGAGCAATTGCAGGGAAATAGTGATTTAGGAAGTACAAATGTTGCCAGGTTGGCCTAACAAACCATAGATTTTGTGCCGTTATCGCCGTATGACCTTAGGGATGATTTAGGGATGTTTTGGGGGCATGGGGTGTGTGAATCGTATGAGTTTTTTTAGTAGAAATCAGTTCTGGTCGTAGCAGATTTTTGCTGTCATCGCACTGTTCGCCTAGCGAGCATGCCAGCGAAGACTCGCTATCGACTCGCCTAGCGAGCAAGCCAGCGAACGTAGCAGAGTTCGCGAAATTTGATCATTTTGCAGCGATGCCTTGATGTTTGATTATGAGACTTCTGAGATGAGTTAACATGAGTATGATAGTGAGGAATTATGTGATTGATAGGCGATAGTGTGAGGATTACCGCGAGTATAATTTTAGGAATTAATATGAGAGAATGTGGGGTAGTATTATGAATTAATATGTGATAATATGATGGGCTA